AGTTGCTTCTGAACGCCTTTGAACTGCTCTGTAACTTCAAACCAGACACTCACTACTCTGCCTTCTTCCTCTCCCTTGACATTATCACCTCAGCCATAGATTCAACCTTATTTTAAAAACATCGATATATGTCATATGTGGATATGCCAAAAACCACAGAAGTAAAAGACTGAGCCTTAACATTCAGGAGAGCAGCACAACCTCTCTTGCCATCTCACTCCTTATATAGTAGGTGGGTTGGGGTGCTTCTGGTTTTTTGTTTGAGTCTTTTTTCTTTTTTCTTTTTTTTTGGTTTCTTTTGTTGTTTTTATCTTAAACATGAGCGTAATTCCAAAATCACATTCAACTGTACATTTTCTGAGGCTTCAGAAGATGTGCCCCCCACCCCGCATTTTAAAAATAAAAAGAATCAAGGTTAGATAGAAATTATTAAATACAAGGTTCTTTTGGAGTCCACTATCAAAGGGTGGTTATCCAGGAATAGTCCTCACCTAGGAGGGAGCCTCAAGTCCTCGACAGGACTTGCCCAGGAGCTGGCAGCTCATCTCACTCGAGGAGATGACTCACCGGGAGCGGAGCCAGGAGGCTCGGCGGCAGCTGTGAGTGGTTAAAAACCTGCCCTGGGAGCGTGGCAAACGGAGAGGGTCGAGGCAGTTTGCGCAGGATAAGCTGCTTGATCAAGAGGACTCGCCTGGAGCACAGGAGGAGGAAGGACTGCTTGCTTGTGCGGATAGACGTAGACGGACCGATTGATCAGATCATGGTCACAACACAATCAAAAGCTGCAGTGAGGAGTGATGTGAGTACCCAGACTGAGCCTTCCTGCACACACGCGGCCGTGCAGGTCTCTGGCTGCAGTAAATGCCTGAGCCTGGCACTTGTATTGGAGGGAGCCAGTGACACCACTTGTGTGCGGTGTGAGCAAATAAATGAACTGCTCAGGCAGGTGGTTGAACTGAGGGAGGAGGTAGAAAGGTTGAGAGCCATCAGAGAACGTGAAAGTGGAATAGATTGGTGGAGCCACACCCTAAGGCAAGGGCAGAGGGAAGTGGTTGAGGAAGTGGTGGATCCCCTTCCCTCCTACCATCAGATAGAAGGAGTGAACTTAAGGGACAAGGAGGTATGGAGGGAGGTCCCTCCTTGGAGAGGTAAGCAAAAACCCTCGCAATCCCTTCCTTCCTCCCAGTTACCCTTGAATAACAGGTATGAGGTCTTGGAACTACAGGGCCAGGTAAATGGAGATGGAGGGGTAGATCTATCTAGTGAGTCACCTAGGGCTTGTAACTCATCCTCATGCCTTAGAACTTCTTCAACAAAGAAGAAGAGTAATTGTGGTGGGTGACTCCCTTCTGAGGGGAACAGAAGGGCTCATTTGTCGACCAGAACCATCCCACAGGGAAGTCTGCTGCCTACCTGGGGCTCAGATTAGAGATGTTAAAAGGAAACTCTCTGATCTGGTGCAGCCCTCTGACTACTATCCGCTGCTGGTTTTTCAGGTTGGCAGTGATGAAATTATTACAAGGAGGGCAAGGGCAATGAAGAGAGACTTCAGGGCCCTGGGACGACTGGTTAGAGGGTCTGGTGCGCAAGTGGTGTTTGCCTCCATACCTGTTACAAGCAAGGGTGAAGAGATAAATAGAAAGAGTCTGCAGATTAATATGTGGCTACGTGACTGGTGTCAAAGGTGGGGTTTTGGATTTTTAATCGTGGGCTGCTATATGAGACACCTGGTTTGCTGGTGGCGGGTGGGATACACCAGTCCCAGAGGGGGAAAAGGTTTTTGGGGCAGGAGTTAGCAGGGCTCATTGACAAGGCTTTAAACTAGATATGAAGGGGGAAGGGGAGATAACTGGGCCTGTTGGGGACAAGCCCAAGAGAAACATGCTAGTGCTTGAAGGATGGTGTACTAGGGAGGAATCTCAATCTATTGCATCATTTGAGGTGAGGGAAAGGATAGTTGTTTAGACCCTGTCCCACAGGGGAAAAAGGGTATCAGGGCGAGAGTCAACAGAGCTTTAGGCTAGACTCAAAGTGCGAGGGGGTTGTAGCTGGGTTTGAACTAATGGGGCATTGTTCTAGTATTAATGAAGACCAAAAGGCCTCCCACCTCCCAAGGGTGCCACTAGCATGCTCTGCTCGCTCCCTGAAATGCTTGTACACCAATGCATGCAGCATGGAGAATAAACAGGAGGAGTTAGAAGTCTGTGTGCAGTCTAAAGGTTATGATCTGGTGGCAATTACAGAGACATGGTGGGACAACTCACATGACTGGAATGTGGTCATGGATGGCTATGTCCTTTTTAGGAAAGATAGGTCAGCAAAGCGAGGTGGTGGAGTTGCTCTTTATGTGAGAAAGCAACTAGAATGTAGTGAGTTCTGTCCAGGGGCAGATGAAGATCAAGTGGAAAGTCTGTGGGTACGAATTAAGGGACTGGCTGGTACGGGTGATACAGTTGTGGGGGTCTATTATAGACCTCCTGATCAGGACGAAGGAGTTGATGAGGTTTTCTACAGGCAACTGAAAGCAGCCTCACGACTACATGCCTTGGTCCTCATGGGGGATTTTAACTACCCCGATATTTGCTGGAAGACTTACACAGCCAATCATTCACATTCTAGGAGGTTCCTCCAGTGCATTGATGATAACTTCTTAATGCAAATGGTGGACAAACCAACTAGGAGAGGAGTACTGCTAGATTTAGTACTCACCAGCAAGGAGGGACTGGTTGAAGTGGTGATGGTCAATGGCAGTCTTGGCTGCAGTGACCATGAGATGGTGGAGTTTAGGATCCTGTGTGGGAGGAATAGAATACCTAGCAAGGCCACAATTCGGGATTTCCAAAGGGCCAACTTTGGCCTCTTCAATCAATTGCTAAGGGAAGTTTCATGGGAAAGGGTATTAGGTGGCAAAGGGGCTCAAGATAGTTGGTCAGCATTTAAGGACCACTTCTTCCAAGCTCAGGATCAGAGTGTCCCAATGGGTAGGAAATCAAGTAAGGGAGCTAGGAGACCAACATGGTTAAACAAGGAATTGCTGGGCAAACTTATGTGGAAAAAGAGAATCTATAGATTATGGAAGGAGGGGCTGGCCACATGGGAGGAATATAGGACAGTTGTTAGAGGATGTAGGGAGGCAATTAGGACAGCTAAGGCCTCCTTGGAACTTAATCTTGCAAGTCGTGTTAAGGACAATAGAAAGGGCTTTTTCAAATACATAGTGGATAAAACTAACACAAGAGGCAATATAGGCCCGCTGTTGAACGAGGTGCGTGCCCTGGAGACAGAGGATTTAAAGAAGGCAGAGGTGCTGAATGCCTTCTTTGCCTCTGTCTTTACTCCTGCAGACTCTCCCCGGAGACCCAAGATTCCTGTAGCCCCAGAAAGAGTCAGGACAAAGGAGGAGTTTGCTTTGGTAGATGAGGATTGGGTTACGGATCAGTTAAGCAGTCTGGACATCTATAAATCAACGGGTCCGGATGGAATACACCCACGGGTGCTGAGGGAGCTGGTGGAGGTCATTGCTCGGCCACTCTCCATCATCTTTGGTAAGTCGTGGGAAACAGGAGAGGTGCCTGAGGATTGGAGGATGGCAAATGTCACACCAGTCTATAAGAAGGGCAAGAAGGAGGACCCAGGTAATTATAGACCGGTCAGCCTTACCTCCATTCCTGGAAAGGTGATGGAACAACTTATTCTTGACACCATCTCTAGACATATCAAGGATGAGGGGGTCATTAAGAGCAGCCAACATGGTTTTACCAAGGGGAAGTCATGTTTGACCAACCTTATAGCCTTCTATGAGGAAGTGACTAGGTGGAGGGATGATGGTAGAGCAGTAGATGTGGTTTTTCTTGATTTCAGTAAGGCATTTGATACTGTCTCCCACAGCATTCTCATAGATAAGCTAAGGAAGTGTGGGCTTGACGATCAGGTAGTGAGGTGGATCAAGAACTGGTTGGAAGGAAGAAGGCAGAGAGTTGTGGTCAATGGTGCAGAATCTAGCTGGAGGTCTGTGACTAGTGGAGTCCCTCAGGGGTCGGTGCTGGGACCAGTGCTGTTTAATATTTTCATCAACGACCTGGATGAGGGAACCGAGTGTACTCTCAGCAAGTTTGCTGATGACACTAAACTGGGAGGAATGGCTGACACACCAGAAGGCTGTGTTGCCATTCAGCGAGACCTGGACAGGCTGGAGAGTTGGGCGGGGAGAAATTTGATGAAATTCAACAAGGGCAAGTGTAGAGTCTTGCATCTGGGGAAGAACAACCCCATGTACCAGTACAGGTTGGGGACTGACCTGCTGGAAAGTAGTGAAGGGGAAAGGGACCTGGGGGTCCTGGTGGATAGGAGGATGACCATGAGCCAGCAATGTGCCTTTGTGGCCAAGAAGGCCAATGCCATCCTAGGGTGTATTAGAAAGGGTGTGGTTAGTAGGTCAAGAGAGGTTCTCCTCCCCCTCTATTCTGCCTTGGTTAGGCCGCATCTGGAATGTTGTGTCCAGTTCTGGGCCCCTCAGTTCAAGAAGGACAGGGAATTGCTTGAAAGAGTCCAGCGCAGAGCCACAAAGATGATTAAGGGAGCAGAACATCTCCCTTATGAGGAGAGGCCGAAGGAGCTGGGTCTCTTTAGCTTGGAGAAGAGGAGACTGAGGGGTGACCTCATCAATGTTTACAAATATGTAAAGGGTGAGTGTCAGGATGATGGAGCTAGGGTTTTTTTTCAGTGATGTCCAGTGATAGGACAAGGGGCAATGGTTGTAAACTGGAGCATACAAGGTTCCATGTGAACATCGGGACAAACTTTTTTACTGTGAGAGTGACAGAGCACTGGAACAGGTTGCCCAGGGGGGTTGTGGAGTCTCCTATGTTGGAGATATTCAAGGCCCGCATGGACAAGTTCCTGTGTGATGTACTCCAGGTTACCCTGCTCTTGCAGGGGGGTTGGACTAGATGATCTTTTGAGGTCCCTTCCAACCCTTGGGATTCTGTGATTCTGTGATCTTCCTCGATCTTGATTTTTTTTTGTTTTTGTCTTTTTCTTTTTGTCCTCTGTTTTGGGTTTCAACACACAGACACATGCAGAAACACCAGCAATTGCTTTGGGTAAGTCAGTTCCTTTGTACCACCTATTTTTCTCCCTATCATAAACCTGGACTGTTTTGGAGAAGACTGTTTCTTCCCAGCTGTAGCCTCCGAGGATGTAAATCTTTCCTTCCCGAACTGCCACCCCTGACTCACTGTTTGCTTGCAGCAGAGGAGCAACTTTGGTCCACTGGTTACATTGAGGGCTGTAGGACTCCTCGTTCAGAATGTCAAAGCGAGCCATGGTTTCTATGTTGTCATCGCTGCCACCAATGGAGTAGATATTGTCCTGTAAGATGCACATGCTCTGCCACCCTCGGGCAACGATCATTGGCCTCTTCTCTTCCCAAGCATCTGTGCAGTAGTCATAACACAGCAGATTTTTTCTATAGGGATCAATTTGGTAATCATGGGCTCCTGAAATGTACGCAAATTCCTTGTAGACTGTTCCAGCATGGCCGTAGGTAAATCTAGGACAGGCAACCAAAAATGATCCAGCTTAATGCTCACGGATTTCACCAAGACACACAGTGTTCAACAAGGATTGCTATTAAAGTATAGTGTAAACAGTAACTAAAGACAAACAGTAACTAAAGACAAACTCAGACAGAGACCCCGGCCCTAACCGTGGCTGTTCAGGTCTCTGGATGCAGGGAGTGCCAGAGCCTGCTGCTGCCGGGGGAAGGAGGACAGCATTCCACCTGTGTGAGGTGTGAGCAGGTGGAAGATTTGCTTAGCTTGGTGGCTGAACTTAAGGAGGAGGTTGAGATGCTGAGGAGCATCAGGGAGTGTGAAAGGGAGATCGACTGCTGGAGTAACTCCCTGGCTGGCCAGTTGGTACGGCTCCAGGGAGATACCCCCCAAAAGAGGATGGACCCCCTGCCCTCTCAGACAGAGGGGGATGGCCTGAGACAGCCCCTGTCATGTAGCTGTCGCCCGGAGGTAGGGGACCAAAAAGATGAGGAGGGTTGGAAGCGAGTTCCGGTTCGGCGTCGTGGGCAGCCCTCCTCCCTTCCTGCCCCGCTTCCCCAGGTGTCCCTCTGTAATAGGTTTGAGGCCCTGGATCTGGAAGGAGAGGTAGGTGAGGATGTGGTGCAAGGCCCGCCTACAAGGCCACATAGGAAAAAGCGGTCGACTTCACACCTCAAGACTGCCTCTGGTAAGAAAGAAAGAAGGGTCATTGTAGTAGGTGATTCCATTCTGAAAGGAACAGAGGGCCCGATATGCAGAGTTGACCCTCATCATAGGGAAGTGTGTAGTCTGCCTGGAGCCCGGATCAGGGATATCACCAGGGTGCTCCCCAACCTGGTGCGCCCGACAGACTACTACCTGCTGCTGGTCTTCCAGACGGGTGAGGGGGAAGTTGCTTCCCGCAGCCTGAGGGGGATGAAGAAAGACTACAGGGCCTTGGGGCGGATGGTGAAAGACTCTGGGGCTCAGGTGATCTTCTCCTCACTCCTTCCATCTTCTGTTGATGATGTGGGACTGAATGGGAAAATGCAGTCCATAAACGATTGGCTTCAAGGCTGGTGCTCCAGGCAGGGCTTTGGATTCTTTGATAACGGCTGGTTTTATAGGGCACCGGCCTGGACATTGGCATGTGGGAAAGGTTTATCACACAGAGGTAAAAGGATGCTGGGGCACGAATTAGCAGGGCTCATTTGGAGAGCTTTAGACTAGATTTGAAGGGGGATGGGGTTGTAGCTGGGCTTGCCTCAGTGGGACAGCGCTCCAGAATTGATGAAGACTGGGAGGCCTCCTGTAATCCTAGGGTGAAATCGGTGTGCTCGGCTCGCTCCCTGAAATGTCTGTACGCCAATGCGTGCAGCATGGGAAATAAGCAGGAGGAGCTAGAAACCTGTGTTAAGTCAGGAGATTATGACCTGGTGGCAATTACAGAGACGTGGTGGGACAGCTCACATGACTGGAATATAGTCATGGAGGGCTATGTCCTTTTCAGGAAAGACAGGCCAGCCAAGCAGGGCGGTGGGGTTCCTCTTTATGTGCGAGAGCAGCTACAATGCGTTGAGTTCTGTCCGGGGACAGATGATGAGCGAGTTGAGAGTCTGTGGCTGAGAATTAAGGGGCAGGCTGGCAGGGGCGATACTGTTGTGGGGGTCTGTTACAGGCCACCGGATCAGGGTGAGGAAGTTGACGAGGCCTTCTATAGGCAGCTGAGAGCGGCCTCACAGTCACAGGCCGTGGTCATCGTGGGGGATTTTAACTTCCCTGATGTTTGCTGGAAGGATTACTCGGCAACCCAGCCGCAGTCCAGGAGGTTCCTCCAGTGTATGGATGATAACTTCCTCATGCAAATGGTGGATGAGCCAACCAGGAGAGGTGCGCTGCTGGTTCTCATCCTCACTAACAAGGAGGGTCTGGTTGAAGGAGTGAAGGTTGAGGGCTGCCTTGGTTGCAGCGACCACGAGATGGTAGAATTCAGGATCTTGTGTGGTAGGGTCAGTAGAATAGCAAGTAGAATCGCAACCCTGGACTTTAGCAGGGCAAACTTTGGCCTCTTCAAGCGATTGCTAGGGGAAATCCCGTGGGCTAGGCTGCTTGAAGGGAAAGGGGCCCAAGATAGTTGGTTGACGTTCAAGGACTGCTTTTTCCGAGCTCAAGATCAGAGCATCCCGACACGTAGGAAGTCAAGGAAGAGGGTCAGGAGACTTGCGTGGCTAAATAGGGAATTGCTCGGTATGCTCAAGTGGAAGAGGAGAGTTTACAGGTCATGGAAGGAAGGGCTGGCCACTTGGGAAGAATATAAGGCTGCTGCTAGAGGATGTAGGAAAGCTGCTAGGATGACTAAGGCCTCCTTGGAATTAAAGCTGGCGAGAGGGGTCAAGGACAGCAGAAAGAGCTTTTTCAAATACATGGCAGGTAAAACTAACACCAGAGGCAATGTAGGCCTGCTGATGAACGGGACAGGTGCCCTGGTGACAGAAGATACAGAGATGGCAGAGTTACTGAATGACTTCTTTGTCTCTGTCTACTCTGCCGGAGGCAGTCCTGAAGAGCCCTGTACCGCTGAGACCTCGGATGAAGATAGGTCAATGGAGCGGTCTGCCTTAGTCGATGAGGAATGGGTTAAAGACCAGTTGAGCAATCTGGACATCCATAAATCCATGGGTCCAGATGGGATGCACCCGCGGGTGCTGAGGGAACTGGCTGAGATCATTGCTGGACCGCTCTCCATCATCTTTACCAAGTCTTGGGAAACGGGAGAGGTGCCTGAGGACTGGAGGAAAGCAAATGTCACTCCTGTCTTCAAAAAGGGCAAGAAGGAGGACCCAGGTAACTATAGACCGGTTAGCCTCACCTCCATTCCTGGGAAAGTGATGGAACACCTTATCCTCGGTGCCATCTTAAGGCATATCAAGGATAAGAGGGTTATGAGGGGCAGTCAACATGGCTTCACCAAGGGGAAGTCATGCTTGACCAATCTCGTAGCCTTTTATGAGGAAATAACACGGTGGATGGATGATGGCGGAGCGGTGGATGTGGTCTACCTTGACTTCAGCAAAGCGTTTGACACGGTCTCCCACAGCATCCTTGCGGCTAAATTGAGGAAGTGTGGTCTGGATGATCGGGTAGTGAGGTGGACTGTGAACTGGCTGAAGGAGAGAAGCCAGAGAGTTGTAGTCTATGGGCCGGAGTCTAGTTGGAGGCCTGTATCTAGTGGAGTGCCTCAAGGGTCGGTACTGGGACCAGTATTATTTAATATATTCATCAACGATTTAGATGAGGGAATTGAGTGTACTATCAGCAAGTTTGCTGATGACACTAAGCTGGGAGGGGTGACCGACACGCCAGAAGGCTGTGCTGCCATCCAGAGGGACCTGGACAGGCTGGAGAGCTGGGCGGGGAATAACTTGATGAAATATAACAAGGGAAAGTGTAAAGTCCTGCATCTGGGCAGGAACAACCCCAGGTTCCAGTATAGGCTGGGGAACGACCTGTTAGAGAGCAGTGTAGGGGAGAGGGACCTGGGAGTCCTGGTGGACGACAGGATGACCAGAGCCGACACTGTGCCCTTGTGGCCAAGAAGGCCAATGGCATCCTGGGGTGTATTAGAAGGGGGGTGGTTAGTAGGTCGAGAGAGGTCCTCCTTCCCCTCTACTCTGCCCTGGTGAGACCTCATCTGGAATATTGTGTCCAGTTCTGGGCCCCTCAGTTTAAAAAGGACAGGGACCTGCTGGAGAGAGTCCAGCGCAGGGCAACTAAGATGATTAAGGGAGTGGAGCATCTCCCTTATGAGGAAAGACTGAGGGAGCTGGGTCTCTATAGTTTGGAGAAGAGGAGATTAAGGGGTGACCTTATTAGTGTATATAAATATATTAAAGGGGGAGTGTCACGAGGATGGAGCCAGGCTCTTCTCAGTGGCAAACAATGAAAGGACAAGGGGTAATGGGTACAAATTGGAACACAAGAGGTTCCACTTAAACCTGAGAAGAAACTTCTTCTCAGTGAGGGTGACGGAACACTGGAACAGGCTGCCCAGGTAGGTTGTGGAATCTCCTTCTTTGGAGACATTCAAAACCCACCTGGACACGTTCCTGTGTAACCTTATCTAGGTGTTCCTGCTCCGGCAGGGGGATTGGACTAGATGATCTTTTGAGGTCCCTTCCAATCTCTAACATACTGTGATACTGTGATACTGTGAATCCCTAACCCTGTTAGTTACCCAGTAACTATTCTCATCCATAGTGCTCCACCCTGCACTGCAGAATGCTAAAGGTATCACAGTCACTTTTTAAGGCATACTCTACAGTGTGTCAAACAATACAAGTAAACCATCCTGCTCTAGTCGGCATGATCTTCACTCCCATTTTCCTGATCCAGTGCATGGATTGGATCAGTCTGAGAGGGCCAGGGAGGAAAAATACCGTCCACATGCAGCAAGGGTTTCTATGACAGAAAGAGGAAATAATCATGATACCTCTCAGACTTGAGAGTGGCTATTAACCAAGAAAACTACTGCTGCCTTTCCGTTTGACAGCTTCAGAAACATGAATCACATTTCTTACCCACTACTGTCCACAGCCCAGTGTATCTGCAGTTATGATACATGTAACTGTCCTTTTTATGAGTTATTCACCTGCTTTACCACTTCTGCTGTTGTCCTGGTTCAGCTACGGCAGTCATTTTTCTCAGCCTTAGTAGCTAGTGCAGTGCTCTGTTTTTGACTTTCAGCCTGGGAACAATGCTGATAACACCAATGTTTTCAATTGCTGCTAAGTAATGTTTAGTCCTACCAAGGACTTTCTTGGTCTCATGCTCTGTAGGGAGGAGGGGAAGCTGTGAGGAAGCAGAGACAGGACACCTGAACCAAACTAGGCAAAGGGGTATTCCACACCACAGCAGGTCAAGCCCAGTTATATAAACTGGGGGGAGTTACCCAAAAGGCCCAGATCGCTGCTCGGGTCGGGCTGGGTATCGGTCGGCAGGTGGTGGGCAATTGCATTTGCTT